TAGATAGATAGATAGATAGATAGATAGATAGATAGATAGATAGATAGATAGATAGATAGATAGATAGATAGATAGATAGATAGATAGATAGATAGATAGATAGATAGATAGATAGATAGATAGATAGATAGATAGATAGATAGATAGATAGATAGATAGATAGATAGATAGATAGATAGATAGATAGATAGATAGATAGATAGATAGATAGATAGATAGATAGATAGATAGATAGATAGATAGATAGATAGATAGATAGATAGATAGATAGATAGATAGATAGATAGATAGATAGATAGATAGATAGATAGATAGATAGATAGATAGATAGATAGATAGATAGATAGATAGATAGATAGATAGATAGATAGATAGATAGATAGATAGATAGATAGATAGATAGATAGATAGATAGATAGATAGATAGATAGATAGATAGATAGATAGATAGATAGATAGATAGATAGATAAAGCCGCTGATTCACAGCCGTAAACTATACCTTCTGGACCCCTTAAGCATGTGAGTGGCAAAAAGTATGCTCATTAGCTTGAAGCACATAAAATTAAACTGAATATTAGTAACCGGAAGATTATTATACAGCTATGCAGAATTGTAAACAATAAATGGTGACAGTAAAACATTCCTCTCATTTTCAAGTGCAGTAAACACAATGTGGACATTTAAGAGATGAACTAGCCTATGGCTAAAAATCTCTTTAATAAAGAAAAAAAAAAACAATGTGGACACAAGTGCCCAATTTATTTTGATGGTCATTTGGATGCTATTTTAGTGCCATAATTGATTTGTATTTTTGAAATGCGGTCTGAAAATTAAGTGCAATATAAAGTGGTGAACAGACAAAACACAGTAATACAATTGATAATTCTTCCGACGTCGTCGCAGTGCACTTCTACCTGGAGTTATTCGTAAAAAGCTCCTGTTCCTTGTCTCTACTGCTGGCGCTGCTTGGGATTTGAAGGTAGGCAGTGAATTTAGAAGAACTAAAATGTCGAAAACGCAACAAGTAACCCTCACGACGTGTAACAATATTCTGCAATAGCTTCATATTATTCTATCAGGCTATCAAAATATGTGTAGGGCATTGCTGATTTGTGGAGTAGTGTTAAGCTTAAGTAAGTCTTGTTCAGTCTTTAGATCAGCTAACTAACTGAGGTAGAATTATGGGGATACAATTCGCTTTATGCACTACTAATAAACTATATATTCAGCCTGGTGTTAATCAGCTTCGTACACCTTGAATCAACCAATAATCAGCTTCTATTCTTACTGTTCAGCTTGAATTGTTACTTGTGCAATGTGTGAAGGAACTCAGAGACCAACAGAAGCGATAAGGCTAGGAGCTGAAGAATACGGAGCGACGTGTGCGAGAACTGATGGGAGGCCAACAGCCATTAGTTGACGCGAGCGGTGGAAGTTCAACGGCGATCAACCAACCCCTTGCAAATGATATCTGGCGGAGGGCCGATGGCGAGTTCGACTGGGAATCCACTCCCACAAATCATTGTAAACCGACCAACGTTCCAGCCAAACAGTGGCAGTATCTTCGGTTTCCCTACGCTAAGTCAAATCCTACAACAGCGACTAGCAGGTTTGAGAGGTGATAATTCAAGGGCGAATTCGACTGGCAACCAATCTTCGCAGATGATATCCGGCGGTGGGTGAACAGCGATTTCAACAAGGAATCCACTTCCAAAAATCCCTGTGAATCATGAAGGGGAGACATAGTACAAGAGTTGCAGTTACTGCAGGAGAACCAGGCGTTGGAGAATAAGCATTGGGAGGAACAGAATCAACTACTTCAATGGTACGCGAAGGTCGGTGGAAGTACAGCTAGAGGAAGTTTCGGTTTGAACCCTTAGGCGACAGCGTTCCAACCAAACAGTTGTAGTCTCTTCAGTGTCCCTTCGCTTAGCCAAAGCCAGGCTTTAGCACGTCAAGCGGTCAATAAAGAACTTCCAAAGTTTTCCAGGAATCCGGAGGAATGGTCACTCTTTCTAGCAACTTACGAAAATTCGACTAGAATATGTGGGTACAGCGATGAAGAAAACCTTTTGCGTCTTCAAAGGAGCCTGAATGGAAAGGCTTTGATAGTTTGGAAGGGCTTTGCGGCAAAGTGACAGCTAAATCTATTGTCCAACTGGTAAATTTACGTCAACGCAACGCCAACGGATCTAATGTGGTTGGCCCTTAACTGTCTTGTTCGCTGATTATGACTCGATTTGACTCAATTTAAGATAAATTCACCGAAAGGTTACCTGACTTAATTCATATTTGATGTAAATCATGGAACGTAAACAACCTTTTTATGTAAAATTAAGTGTACCGCAATATACGGAACTCGACGAAAAGTGCGCTTTATTGAATTGATTTTCTCGTCTCTTACAACTTAGTCTTATGTCATAAGGGCCGCTTTCATGTGTCGGTCTCAGGGCACCGACATTTACATGACTTTTTCGTAGTGTGTATGTATTTATTACCGGAAAAGGACGCCATGTGATCCCTGTGAACACAAATCATCAATCAACCAGGGTAGTCGATACGCGCAATGTCATTGTTCATAACTTCGCATGGCTATCGCTTGTTGTTATTCGAGACAAATTTATCAGTGTTGATTTTTTTTTTGAATTCTTACATTTCTGAAAATACTGAGCGGTCCATCAGTTTTCAACAAAGTCCTCTTCTCTAGTAATTTGTGGCAGTTTCTACCTGCAAAGCCATACTTGCTATGATTTTGAAATGAACTTAGCTTCACCCACTGTTCAGCAGTTGTTGGATCAACAGCTTCAACACCCTTGTAAATGGCGTTTACGATCCCAAGTACGATATGGAGCACGAGTGGTGGACGAAGCAGAACAGTTCTTTGATTAGGAAAAAAAATTATATAAATTAAAAAAAATGCTTTGTTCGTTTATCATCAGTACCATCAGTCTTTCATTTTACGTAACTTGGGTTTTTTAAGTCCAACGTTCTTGGAATCTTGCTCTCTTGAGAAAACATGGACTAACTTGTGCAGCAATATGGACAGATAAGTTAAACTGTGACCCATGATACCTAACAAAAGATTGATGATTTTTAGGGTCACCTGCGACAACCGTTTCCAATTTGTCCAACGCAAAAATTGTCGACCAAACTTGTACAATATTCCTGTACTTTTCCGGAATGCTATGTATTACTGCAAGAAGAAACAACTTCTTCACTCCTGCATCTTTAGGTCCAAAGGCTCTAATATTTCCCATATGTCCTGATTTTCCTCGTGATTTCTTGATTTCATTTTAGCACATTTATAATCAACTAAATGCGTATCTAAAAAACGGAGTGCACACTATTTCAAAACTACCCAAATTTGGGTATAATCCACCCAGATCGGTCAAAACTGATCCTACCCAAAAATGGTTAAACTTGTTGGGAGTGACAAGTTGACAAATGAACAAAGTCGATCGGATTCTTGTCGATGTTGTCCATTGGTCAACTTGTCACTGTCATTTTTGGGTAGGTTCAGTTTGAATCGATCTGGGTGGATACTACCCAAATAAGGGGATGTTTTGAAATAGCGTGTGGATTTGACAAGGCAATCCCGAATGAACTTGTCGAAAATATAAACAAAAACAAACACGTTGAATTGAAACAAAGCAAACCTGTTGCTAACTTGGTTTTTGGTTTTGTTTTTTTTTTTCATCGATCTTGTTGTCCGTGCTGAGCACCAATGCTACCGACGTGCCAGGAAGGCAGCTCCCACACCTGGACCTATCGACTCATGAACCGGGGACCAACGGCTTTACTTCCCATCCGAAGGAAGGCGTGATCAGAGATGTTATGCCTCAGAACATCCCGGCGGCGCCGACTGGGATTGAACCCAGGCCTACTGGGGTGAGAGGTAATCACGCTTACCACTACACCACCGGCGCCGTTGTGTTGCCAACTTGCATACTAAAGTTATTCATTGAAAATAAAAGATAATAACAATAAGGTGATGCAAAAGACTTCTTTGACGTTTGTGAATTGCACAAGAATTAGTGCAGAACTTTGTGAATTCAAAGGTTTTCTGGCACTAATACTTATAATTTACCCCAAGATCTGCACTAATACTTGTGCATTTCACAAACGTCAGAGAAGTCTAGAGACGTTTCTTAGTAGAACTGACAGCTAGAAATCTAGAGTGTGTGAGTGATCTGGTGTTAATGGTGCTGAATGTAAACATAAACAAAGCAGAAACTCATATGAGAATAAACTGCCATTTCTACTGTGGTCGGTCAAAAGTTCTTGGTAAACAAAAAAGTCAGCTGATCGCAACTGTCTCGTGGATAGCCTTATTGTAATGTTTTAGGAGGAAAATTCAACTTAGGGATCGTCCAATAATTATGTCACACTTTTAGGGGGGGGTTTGGAAACTGACGAGCCATACAAAAAAAAAGGTCCATACAAAAAATGTGACAAAGAGGGAAGGGGGGGGTGAAAATTGGCGAAATTTGCGTGACATAATTAATGGTCCTTCCCCTATCGACACCACCCCCTAATCTCCTCTCGCTACTTCTTTTTCTTCCCTGTTTCCAATGACCAACCCTCTCTTTCCTTGCCCCATATCTCTTTAATTTAAGCAGATATATGTGTACATACTGCAAACTGCATTCTAAAGTCAGTGATCTTAAAGAAAATAAACTTTAAAAAAGACCCCCTGGCTGATTGTTTTCAATGCGGTCGCAAATGATAGGGAAAGGCCTCTACTTGCATGAACCAAAATATCAAACTTGCCGATTAAAAAAAAGTTCTTTTTAAAACAAACCGTGCAATGTGTATCAAAAGAATTTATCTCTTCGTTTCGCTTGGTTTCAGAGATCTCGTGCTGGATTGGAATGACACTGGCTTAATTTTTTTTTTCGGTAGTGACCCTTACTCCCAGAAGCCATGTTTTTTTGTGAATTGAAGCATCAACTCATTCGCCCCCAAACCATTCATCGTCAACTTTAGCAATGAAACTTACCAATAGCGCTCCGAATCCATTTTCGGTTAATCCTCCAACGGCAGCAATATTGCTATCGATTTCTCGCAACAGTTTTAGCGCCTCTTCCGTTTGAGGCAACAACGGAAGCGGCGGAGGGCTATCGGCACCGTTCTCCAAATCCGAACGTTGATCTTCTTGGCAATCAGTGTAAAAATTCCAATTCACTTGCCGAACGAGAAGCTGAGAAAATCCTCCACCGACAACGGTAGCAGTCGCACTGTCAGATTCGTCGGGACAATAGCGTAAGAACGCCGGTCTAGGTTTGGATCCGGGTTGGCATCCACTATCACCACCACCTCCAGGTAACTGCTGTTGTTGTTGTTGTTGTTGCTTGGGCAAGCTTACGCTGACACAAGTCGGTGGCCGTGACAAGTACGACGGATCGTTCTCTCGGCGAGGTACATTTTCGGTTCGTAGCGATGATTGATTGCATTCGCTCAATGCGTCATCAAAGGTCATTACAATGCAAACTGCACCGGAGGATGGATGGGAAGGTATTATGATTCTCGAACTGAATGTCACTCGTTTTTTGTTCGGTTCCGAGGGGCGCACCTGGTGACCTTTTTCAAGCGAAATGCTTCCGTATGAATTCAGTAACGCTTTCTCAGAGGTGGACGGTTTTCCATGAAACGACACTCATATACAATCACACATTTTTCACTTGGAATGTTCTGAAACGAAATAGAAAGAAATATTGAGATTAGCCTAGCCAAATGGTTTTCCAGCTCGGTGATAATCGTTTATGAATAATAAGTTGTTATTGTAGATGTAAAAATGTTATATTTGAAATTCCATCGTGCAAAGCATTTGGAAAACTGAAGAAAATTACGCCAATAGATCGATATGTAAACAGATGAGATATTATTATTCCAAATCTCAATGAACATTTCAAAACTTTCTTTTTTGATAACCACGGCTAGAAATAGATTTGAACAAAAACAATAAACTTCACATAAACAAACTATTCAAATTGTACTTCTTGCTAGGCTATTCCGTGCACGCTCTACTAATGACGGTTAATTATTTAAACAAGTGAGAGCACAACAACTTGTAAGCTTCTTACATAACAAGGGTACTTTTGCAACTTGCAACGTGCGGTGCTCCTCCTTCCTCCTCCCTCGAACCGTTCAGTGAGAACTAAATGAGCAAAAGAGTTCTTTCCTGCGTTGGAAAAGTTTCGCTTTTCACTTGGCAAACGGAAGGACATGCGATAACAAGTGTGTGTTTGTGTGCGCGACCGGAAACTCCTTGTAAGGTGTTTTGCAAAAATGCAGGACTTGTCAAGAACGGTTTTAGTAAGTCCTTCGCCGTTGTAACACGAAAACCGACGACGACGGTTGTCGATGTGGGTGTTTGGTGTTCCTTGAACTGATTCATCTTTCTCTTTCTCTCTCTCTCGGGTGGGTAGAAAGTAACACACCAGGAGCAAAATGAGCCGATTAAAAACTTTTGCCGTGCTAACACAATATGCTTGGAATGGAAATAGAAGTTCTTTTTGCTCCTTTTGCTGGAACGATCATTCGTTAATTATATGAGCAGCTATGTAGCAAATAGGACAATGATGCGGTGTTATTACTGAGTGATTATTACGGGTATATAACATAGCATTCACGATAATCGAGTATTGAAATACACTCCATGGTTGTTTTTTTGTGGCCATTAACCATTTACCTTTAGCGACCAGCAATTAAAGTGTAATTAAGGGGGTTTGAGGCAGTGCTTCTGTAATAATGTACCAAACGAACATGTGTCATGTGCTGTTCACACTTAGTTATCGTAATGGGACCATTGTACGATGGAACTTAGTGAAGTAGATTCGTTGGTTATCAAACGATTTAACAACGTAATCGAATCTTTCGCTCCGAAGTATATAGTAAGAGCCTATCATGAAATTTTTCAACATTCATTAACTTACGATTTTTTTCTAACTCCTGAAAAATAATGTTGTTAGTAAATTAGATTGAAAAATACGACTTTGCTCTGCCACCTCTGGCTACGCCTTTAATTTAAATGTAAATGGAATTTATTTCATGGAAATTTTTTTAACTAGAAACTCGTTGAATTCACCACATTGACTTTTCGCCCTTGGAAGGGGCCATTTTCACCATCCCCTGACTACGGACCTGTAAAGACAGACAAAGAAGAAGCGATGGAGAGTTTTACCGATTCTTCTCCAATCTTCGTAAATATCCGGAGAAATTCCGTTCCTACACTCGGATGTAACAATTTAACAACCTTTTGGCTTTCACTCTGATTTACTGTGGTTTTATAACGGCAATTAGCAATCTTTTTTGTTTAAATACAGCAGTTAAAAGTTTAAAACATTCTTGATTAGTAGTTTAGCTTTATGTTGTTTTAAAAACCTTTTAAAGCCTGACGAGAAAATCAGAAAGTGTCTGATTTTACAAATGAATTTAATGCAGCATTCTATCCCTTTATAAAACTGTTCAGTAAATCAATCGGTATTTGTTTTATTGATGTCACGACAAAATACTCCATAAAGGTGTTTTATCATTATAAAAGCAATTATAAAACCGTTCGGTTTCAAACGGGATCAAAGAGCAGATATTGAGCATCAATGCGTTTTGGTGTCCCACTGTTTACAAATAAAACTAAAACGATGGATCCACCTAGAGACAGAGAAAAACGTAATAGAGTGGGGCTTTCAAACGCAGAGTCACAAGGAAATGCCAAAGGATAATCGAGTAATAATTCTAACAATGCTGTCGACGGAAGAGAAAAAGAATCCAATTCCAGAACTTTCTGGGAGGGCAGCTCCGACAAAATCGGTCAACAACAACAGAGCAGCCGGCTGAGAGGAGCGAAATGAATGCGATTTACGAAGCACTGGAAGCCGTCAAATTAGACGCCTAAAATTGATGGGAATGCACAACATATTGTCGAATAGCATCAGTGCCAAACTGGGACTGCGGAAAACTGCTTACAGGAAACCTCAGAAGCTGTCCATCAGCTGGAAGTAGGCTGCCTTCCGATTTCATTTGGCAAAAGAGTTAATTGTTCTAAAAAATCCTGGCAAGCGCACATAAACTTCATCGCATCATCCGGAAGAAGGAAAACTTTTCGAGAACGATTGAGCTTCCACCTGTTCCGAGTTACGCAGATGAGTAACTGCTTCCAATAGATAAATTGCCCTTATCAAGGATGTCACGCACCTTGTTGATACAACGCTGGAGTAGAACATCGTTGCAATGTTCGCATGACAAAACTATCGAAAGGTAATCAAATTATGACGTTTAACTTTTTCCAGGCAACTTTACCACCATTAATGCCGTCATAAAACTAAAGAGAATATGATCAAGCAAAATGGCTTCAGATAAAAACATTTCAGTCTGCAAATTATCTTCATAACAACCGCATTAAAGACTGGGCTCGAAAAAAAAATGCGACACTTTGTTTTGGGTGTAACTTTTTATCGCGTGGGTAAAAATTAATGAAATTTTGGGTAATACTAGTTTAGAGTGTTATGTATATGTGTGCGATCTGTCAAGTAGTTTTCAAGATGCATTCGAAACAAGAAGAGCTACGCCAGCAAATCTTGGGCGCGGTGATCGATAATCCTGGTCAGTCGCACAGATTTATCGGCTTAAGGCTTGGAAGCCCCCATTCCACAAAATTCAATAAATAAATTATGCCAAAACATGGCTAATATATAGTTATTTAATCCCTGAAAATTTGAGAAGTATCCGATTTAAAATGAATTTTTGGTTATCATTTTTGTGTGTCTCATTTTTTCCGAGTCCAGTCTATAAAATGTTTTGCATTTGTTAGCGAAACAGCTTTTCACAAATGGCTTATAGACAATTACTGTTTAAGCTATCGCCATATTGTTATTCAAGTTTTTTAAGATATTTTTCCTTTAAATAACTTTATTCTCATCAATTCATCAATGAGCAGTAATGAAGATTACGAAGCTTATCAAATTGTCTCGGCTGGGAGCAATGATTAACATAGGTTGGTTGATTGGTTGTCTTTATTAAGGAGATTTTCAGCCAGACGCTGATTCATCTCCGCTATGATTAACATAACATAAAGCTATATTTTATGTGACGAAAACACCCCTCGATGCAGCGACGCTGCCTATGTAGATCGACACGGTTTCCAGCAGGCCGCATCCGATCGATTTGTCATGCATGACAAGTGACAAACGATGAGGAGGAACGTCAAAAATAGTGGTGAATCGATAGTCATCGTTACACACAGTTCGAAAGCCATTGTATACGATTAGGGAAGTGCCGGGCGTGTTTATCTCGAATAAATAACTTAGCTACTACTAGTGCTTAAAACTATTGAATTTTGTCTAAACTAGTAAAATCGAACCTAGGGCTAACGTAAGTAGCCAAACTAAAACTCTTTGAACTTAAAAAATAAATTACGAACTAATATTTACAGCTAACCTAGAAACGTGGATTCACGATAAGATTTCTCCAGTTTGACAATTCCTACACTAAAATTGTAAGTAAACTTTATCTAAAGTGTTTATTTGTAATAATAAAATCGATTTGAATTTCTAGCTTAAAGCTAACACTACCAAAAAAATTTTTTCTTCTGAGATTTGGTGACACAACCCTACATTTTATTTTCTAAATTAAAACTAATTAGTCAAATCAACGATTTCCGAGGGCGGACTTATTTTTTCGATCTTCCGAAGCACATATCGCATTAGATATAATCTGTCACATAAAAATAGACCACAATGTAAGTTACGATAGTTTTAGTAATTCTTTCACTTTAATGATGAGGAAATTTTGGAGGATTTTTTATAGATTCATTTTTGAACAATGAATTTGGCAAAATCGGACGATATTTATATATATGTATTTATGTAGCGATATATATATTACATCTTGATTGATGCTTTATTTTTAGTGCGCTTAGCAAGCGTTAAAATATTGATGCCAAATAGCATTTATTGTACTTTTAATAAGGATTTCAAATGGTTCTCAATGCTTTCGTCCTATAACCTTTTTGCAGCAAGTCATTCTTGAAATTTCTCGACAATACACTCTTTGGAAACTTCTTCAGGGTGGGCCAACTAGACAGATTCTAGTCTTAATGAGGTTTTGGTGGATGTAATAAAGGCAAATTTATCTTGACCAAAGTTTTAGGAATGTTGTTTTATACAAACCTTGTAGAACTTCCTAAAATGTTAAATGTTAAAACCTTTATAAAATTTAAATAAAATTAAGTAGCTCTAGATTTGTAACTAGATAATATTTATTTAATTTTAATTTGTTTTTCTTCATCGGACTTATCGTGTCTTAATGAAGCCTGATGGGGAAAAGCCTAGAAAAGGCGTAAAAACCCCATATCTTTTCGAAATACATGAATCACAATAATACAATACAATTACAACGAAAATTAATCAAGTATATAGCATAAAAAAAGTTATCCTCCTATGGCATGGAGTTGTCAATGAATCAGGTAGAAGTCCTCGTCATGCAGTTGAACCAGAAACAAAAAATAAACAGGTAGCACAATCCTTCACGCGTACATTAAATGGACAGCTACTCACCTTCTCAGGAGTCTACGTTGAATACGGTGACGAAAGGTTTCCGCTGAACAGTTAAAGTCGAAAAACTCGTAAAACTCGTTGAAACGCCCAGGTATGAACCGTATTGGGTCATGCAAGCCGTAGTTCGCAGCACGAGGT